TCAGATGTGATGTGATAACTTTGGCTCCTTAAGTCAGCAGTGTGACTTCGAGAGGCCAAGGACAGTGAGAGGATGAAGCTGTGTAGTGGACAGCCTGGGTGCCGGGGCCCTTCTGCTGGTCACTGTGTGCCTTAGGCAGACAGCTTGACTGACTCTAACCCCACCGAAGCTGCACTGTTTACCAGCTGTGTGGTGTTGGGGCTTGACCTGCCTTCTCATGGCCCTTGTTCTTTGAGATGTGTATAATAATAGTTCTGGCCTCAACAGTATTTGTGATGCAAGATGCTTGCGAGGCCTTGTCACCCACCGTTCGCCCAGAGATGATTTGCTTTTGTTAAGACTGAGCTCTGAAAGATGTAAGAGCCAGAGGGCGTGGAGGACATCAGGAGAATGCTCAGCCCTCTGAAACAACTGAGCTAGGCTCGTATGACCTCACAGAGACTGAAGCAGCATGCTCAGAGCCTACAAGAGTCTGCAGCAGGTCCTCTGTGTATTTATTACAGCTTTCAGCTCAGTATTTTTATGGGACTCCTGGGTGTGTGAATGAGTGCGTCTCTGGTTCCTGTGCCTGCTCTTTGGCTCTTTTCTTTCTTTTGGGTTGCCTTGTCCAACCTCAATGTGATGGTTTTTGTTTTATCTTATATTTTATTGTTATAATTGGTTGTTATCTCTTAGAAGCCCCTTCCTCCCTCCCTCCCTCCCTCCCTCCCTCCCTCCCTCCCTCCCTCCCTTCCTTCCTTCCTTCCTTCCTTCCTTCCTTCCTTCCTTCCTTCCTTCCTTCCTTTTTGGTTTTTTGAGACAAGGTTTCTCTGTGTAGCCCTGGGTGTCCTGGAACTCACAGAGGTCGTGCCTCTGCCTCCCAAGTGCTGGGATTAAAAGCATGCCGCCACCTCTGCCACCGCCGCCGCCACCACCACCACCACCACCACCGCCGCCGCCTGCCCTACTCCCGCAGCCTGTTCTTTTCTAATGAGAGACTGGAGGGGAGGGAGATGGGGAGGAGTAGAGAGAGGAGAAACTGTAACCAGCATGTATTGTATGAGAAAAGAATCTATTTTCAACACAAGAGCAAAAATTGAAAGAAAAAAGGAAGAGAGAGAGGCGAGAGAGAGGCGGGGGAGAGGGAGAGAGAGAGAGAGAGAGAGAGAGAGAGAGAGAGAGAGAGGGAGAGGGAGAGGGAGAGGGAGAGGGAGAGGGAGAGAGGGAGAAGGACTATGAACTCTGAAACATTGTATTCATTTAATGTGAATGAATTTGATGCCCCCACCTTTGATGCTTCCCAGTGATTAGAAAGAGCACACTGGAGAGGGAAAAAAAAAGACAGGCTGTTTTATTTAATAAAATCATTTAGCTAATTAAGCTATTCCTTAAGAGGAGGATTTGTTAAGATGGACATGGTGGCACATGCCTGTGATCTTAGCACTTGGGAGGTTGAGACAGGAGGATGACAACTTCGGGGCCAGCCTGGGCTACATAATTCCAGACCAGCCAGAGCTACATAGCAACATTGGTCTAGAGAGAAAAAGAGGAGAGAGAGAGATAGAAAGAGAGAGAGAGAGAGAGAGAGAGAGAGAGAGAGAGAGAGAGAGAGAGAGAGAAGGAAGGAAGGAAGGAAAGAAGGAAGGAAGGAAGGAAGGAAGGAAAGAAAGAAGAAAGAAGAAAGAAAGAAAGAAAGAAAGAAAGAAAGAAAGAAAGAAAGAAAGAAAGAAAGAAAGAAAGAAAGAAAGAAAGAAAGAAAGAAAGAAAGAAAGAAAGAAAAGCAAGCAAAGCAGTTGAGAAGATCTGTAGACGTTCCACAATGTGCCAGGTGCCCCTGTGGCAGCTCTGGGCAATCCAACATTACCGAAGGCTGTGAGCAACATGACACATGCTGAGAACCCAGGGACTAAATTTGCCGGAAAACTACCCTCAGGCCCAGGCTACAGAGACGCATTTGTATTTAAGACACTTAACCGACGTGGTAGAAAAAGTACTGGCTTGTGTTTAGACCCTTCCAGGTCAGCCACTTACCAGCTTTTTAAGCTCGAGCAAGTTATCTGACTTAGCGTCGGTTTATTAATTTTTAAAGTAGATGTGATAATATCTGTCCAGTAAAGTTATGATGAGGGCCAAACCCTGCCATTAACACATAATAAGGTCCCAATAAATATCCCCTTCCCCAGCATAAGCCTCTCTTTCCCAAGAGTACAAATGACTCACTTGGCAAAAAAGGGATAGTAAACATACCAAAATACAATCCAGGACCAAACTGATTCACTGTGCATCTACAATCTGCTTCCATCCTACACGCCTTCACTCTTCCAAGCATTGGTCCTAAAACGATACCTTACAAATAAATGCTTCTTCGTCTCTGCTGTTCCCACCACAAAGAAGAGCTTTTAGATGCAGCTTGTAGGGCTACGGCTGTAGTTCACAGTGCATACCTAGCAAGCATGAGGCCCCACTTCAATCCCCAGCACTAGAGGAGGAGGAGAAGGAGGAGGAGGAGGAAGAGGAGGAGGAGGAGGAGGATTTTTAAAATGAGATATTTTAAAGGGCCTCCTATCATAGAGATCCATACATCCATATTTATTGCTCTCTCTCTCTCTCTCTCTGTGTGTGTGTGTGTGTGTGTGTGTGTGTGTGTGTGTGTGTGTTTACAGTGTGGCTCTATAAGTCACGAAACTAGAAAAGGAGAGGGGAGGAAGAGCTCGATCTTCAGGGAGGGGAAGGAAGAGGAGAGGAAAATGGAATATACATATAAGAAAACAGAAGGTGGTGACATCTCGGGAAACAGGAAACTGGCCAGAGCAGGGATGGGAGCGCAGAGCAGGTAGAGAGGGAAATGATAATGTGCGTGAAAGTGCCAAACTGCACCCATTGCCTTGTATGCTAACCCACAGAGAAACTGAGGCACGTTCTAGAGGAGCAGTGTGGGCTGTACTGTCCAGCAGGACCAGTTTGTTGACTGTAAGGAGACACACAGAATGTCACCACCTCCTGAGACGTTGCCTCCCTGACTGTTCTTCGTGTGCACTGTTGAATATCCATTTGACAGTCAGAACGAAGGGACTTTGTTGGCTACACGCTGCCCATATATGAAATTATGTTCCAGAGCATTCCAGAAATAAACTCACTATGAACCACCAACAGTGTTTGCCAGGAGAGACAGGAAGTGTCAGAGGTGGTGGGAAAACATGAGGTCTGAGTAGAAATGGCTTGGTCCTAAATCCCAGCTCTGCCACCAGAGTATATTTGACTTTGGACAAATTTTACATTCACCATGATCAGGTTTCTCCACCTATAAGTTGCTGAAACAGCATCTGCATGCTGGGGTTGTTGCTAACAGGGTGAAAGTCCTGACTACGATGTCTGGCATGTAGTAAGAGCTTGGGGGGTGTCAATGATTTCCTTTTTATTTAAGTTGTAGTGAGAACTCAGGGAGAGTCAATGAGTTCCTTTTTATTTAAGCTGTAGTAAGAGCTCAGGGGCCATCAATGATTTCCTTTTTATTAAACATGGAGCGAACACTTTCACTCCCAGCTCTCTGCATTTCCAGAATCTGTTTTTCTGTCTTGCCTATTACTCTTGCATTTCAGCAAACTGTTAAGTATTTTCCTGAAGACCCGAGACCTGGGTCCGCTGGATTTTCTAGTCACATACATCGAGGTGCTTTTTATTACAAGGTCACAGTTGGAGAATGAGTAGTCGTGGTTTACTGAGACCCAAGAACTGGCATTGGAGCTGCAGTGGTGACTGACGTGAACTTCGTGTTCCGTTTCATAAGGCAGAAAAGCCACTTCATAAGAAACTGGGAAAGTTCAGTTTCAGTAAGAACTTCTTGCATTCCTAGGAAAACCTTGGGTTCACCCCTCCCCATTCCTACCCTTGACCTCTGGCTTCTGGTTACCTCAATATTAGGTATTTTATTTTCCCGATAATTTATTTGGTCTTTTTTAAATGTGAAATTGCAATGCAAGGCAAATATTTGAAAGTGTTTACAATATTGGAATGACTAAATTTTCCTGGGCAAAGAAAATAAGTTGGAGAAAGAGGAGAGGGAGTAAATGTATTTGATAGCTGTATTAATTTCTCAAAGTCAGCAGGTCTCATGCTTATGTCGAAATGTATTATTCTAAAAGAATATTTTAAAATTTCAAGACAGAAGGAAAGCTAAGGAGGGAGCTACTGTCTTTTCTTTGTACCCATCATTCACTGAGTTTTCAACAGGAAATCTTTGGGAAAGTTTTTTTGCTCATTTTGAAGTCATCTCTTGCCAGCAAATAGCAAGTCTGTACGATAGGGTTGCCAAGGCAATGTCAAGACCATGTAGCGAGTGAGAGGGAAAATGTGGTGTGTACAGACAGGGAGGTGGTGGGACAGATTAACAATGGGGGCGCCAGGGCTTTTTGCAATTGGAAAGTTGCGTTGTTTTTTATGAGTGCTTATACTCGAAGCTGTACCATCTGTTCCTCTGCAGCTTTCTCTGGAGGCCTTCCCTTTCCATATCACCTTGCTGGGGACTATGTGATTGGTCTCCTGATTATACTCTAGTCTTCATTCCGACACCGAGGCTTGTCCAAACGGGGTCTGTGTCAAAACGGGTTCCACTGCCTTTGGGTTAGACAAAAGGCATTTTTCATTTGCTCAGCTCAGAATCGCTTTTTCTGTGAATGCCACTTAAAGGACTTCCACGTAATGACTGCTAAGACAGATCCATCCCTCGCTCCCAATACTGTATAAATATTTGCTACTTAAAATAAATGACTCATGTCAGATTTGAGTAACCACCAGCCAGATAGTTGCTCATTTTTAGAGATTGTTGCCTTAGTTTGAAAACTCAATTTTCCTTTCTCTGTCTTTTTTCCCCCCTTCAGGTACAATCCTTGGCTTTGCCCTCCGACCATATAAAATGAGCTACAGGGAAGTCAAATACTTCTCATTTCCTGGAGAGCTTCTGATGCGGATGTTGCAGATGTTGGTCTTACCCCTCATCATCTCCAGCCTCGTCACAGGTACTCGTCACAGACAGTTTTTGCTGTGTGGGTTTTTTGGTTTTTTGTTTGTTTGTTTTTGTTTTTTTAAGTGTGCTTATTGCAAAGGAATGCTTAGAAAAGTCAACGCTTTAGGTTTCTGCTGGATGCATGCTCTGTTCTAGAAAAAAAAATAAAACAAATCCCTTCGAAATGATGGAAAGGAAGGCTTTAGTAATGCATGAATGATTATGACTCTCGTATTTTTACCAATCACAAGAGGAAATGGATTTAAACAGCCACGTAATCTGGTCTGCCTCCCCATGAACGAGGTACCCTGCTAAACACCACACAATCCGCCTTCTCTGACCACAGTGATGTAGTTGACAACAGCGTACAACAGGTCTGTTTTCTCACCCTCTTATCCCACCCAGATAACATCTGGTTGGACAGCCTATTAGCTATTGATGCAAGAATGCTTGTTCTCAGAGCCACCAGGACATGAGCGGGAGCCTTCCTGGAAGCCTCATCAAGAGGTAATGCCCACCACACGCTCGCCAACTCCGCTGCCACCAACACTTGTCTTTTCCTGGTGTACCCGCATGATTTCATTTCCTTCTCCGGTTTCCCCCGCCCACCCCCATTGCCTTTTATGCTGGCGGGAGAATGGGGAGGGGGTGGGAGGTGTCCCCACGGGCTACGCCGTCCACGGACACTTGGATTTTCAAGCAGTGGGAGCTTCACAGGATAGGATCTCTTTACCGTGACCGTGAGATTGCAGCTTCCGCCTACACGGGTGCAGGTGGAAGGAGAGTCATTTAGCCGTGTGCTTGACAAATACAGATGGGGCAAGAAGGTGCAGAAAGAAAAAAATGTTACTATACATTCCTTCCCGCCCACTCTTCTCTTTCCCCACAGCACATCTCTGACTTGGAGAAAGAGCTTCCGTAAACACTGCCCCAACGGGATGGTGTCTGGGGTTGTAGCTAAAGCTCCAGACCTCAGGTACTACTGACCCTGGCTTCTTTTTCTACCTGTGGTCACTGTCCTTCTTGGGCAGGCACGTTTACCTCTGTGTGGGCTGCCTCTCCCCGCCTCTTCCCATGAGTGTTCAAAGAGAGTTATACTCCTGCAAGCTTTCTGTGTAACAAGAACTTCGTAGAGCAACTCAAAGGTCATGGGGCAGCATTCTGACTACTGCATGCCTTAGAGGGCTGGCCATTACATGCACAGAAACTATGTCCGATTACTCCTCGGTGCCTTGCAGATCTGTGCTGGCTACCACTTGTCCGGGGCCTTAAACAAGTAGTTGCATGTACCCAAGCTCAGAGCGGAGGATAAACGGCCCACAAACCAGTCTTGTCACCTTTGGGGGGCCTGTTTATGAAACTGGACTGGTCAGTTGCAGACTAGGGGTAATTACGGCAGCTACAATTCTTATCACAGAAGCTGTATTAAATGTTGGCCTGGGGCACATGTTCATGTACTAACCATTTTTTCTAAAAAAAGAAAGGAAATCTTTGTAGAAATGACTTAGAGGTCAGAGCCCATCTCCAACGTTTTATTGAGTGAAACAGTGAATCCCTCTGCGTCGTTTCTAGCAGCTGACTTTCTAGGCTGAACCTGCTGTTCCTCTGGACACACTCTGATGAGTCTGGATTCCTTTCTACTGTCTCTTCTAGAGTGGAGCCCATGTTTCAGCTTTCTCACAACTGTGCTTTTTTTTTTTGAGACACAGAAACTCTTTTACAACACAGTTAGAAAAAACATTGCTTCCCCTAGAAACAGTCGCCCTCTCCCCTGAAGAGGAATTCCCTGGTGTTTTAAATACTTAATAATCAACTTTATTAAAGGAACAAGAGCTTTGGTTCAATAATTTTGCAGCAAAAAAAAAAAATTACTCTGATCTAATCCCTTTCAGCGCTTCAAAAGAAATTTTTGGTCAAACATTGGGGAAATTAGCAGCCCTTATAATATGACTGTTAAAAAACAACAGAACGGCAAGTTGAAAGGAGTCAATATAAAATGAACTCATAACCTACGTGCAAGTTGAGAGTGCTATCACATGGGATCATTAAGAGTTTTATCTCTTATCCAGGACTGGGTCAAGGAAAGGGGCCTGCGGCAGAGTTCAGTCAAAGATGTTTTTACAGAGCTCTTTTCCAAGGAGTAATCCCTGAGCTACACAGTAATCTAGATACTTGCAATCAATTAAAATGAATGATTGATTCAATGAGACGTTCCTTTGTGGTTTTAAATACAAAACATTCTAAAAGTGGGAATGTAGAGAGGAAATGTTTGCAAATTGCACAGACTCCCTGGAGGATCCCCTGGGCTTTACTGGGAGCCGTTCCTGGGGAAGGATGTTGCCCTGGGAGGTAACAAAGTGAAGCTCCGTTATTCAAGAATGAAAAGCAGTCTCAAAGGCTCGCAGTCGTCAAGTGGGTGACGTGTACATATGAAGATGCCCTTTCAGGCTACTTTTCTGTTTTCCTACTTTGATAGTCATGGATACAGAGAAATATTTTCTTCACCAGGAGAAAGAGCAGGGCTAAGAGAGATGATTAAATAGAGAGTGACTGCATTGCAGAATAATGTGGGCACAAGTCGGGCAAGGAGGCGGTTGAGACCTGAGAAATATAAGATATTATAAGATAATAATTAATCGGCTCCAGCCAGTTGCTGCTCTGTGTCCACAAGAGCAAAATAGGACCATGTTTTGAGGAGAATTTAATTCTACAAAGTTTTAAGGGACCTTCTCAAGTTTTCAGTTTTGGTACAGTTCACAAAACAGGACAATGTGGCCAAGCAAAGTACATCAACTGATTCAGTCAACCCTACTAATATTCAAAACCCTTGCTTGCGTATCAGTGCTACTGCCTGAGAAATGCCCCACTATTTCCAAACCTCCATCAGGCTTTTGCTGGTGTTACCTGACTCACTCGAGGGTAATCCTAAACTAAACAGAGCTTACTCCGTGGGGAATAAGCTGCTAAACACCACGTTCTTGGCTGTTAAAGGAGCAGCAAATGGGAAGGTTCTCCTCTCCATCTTCTGAATGTGGTCATATTGGATCATTGCTGTTCTGTCTGTATCAAACATGAACATCAGAGTAAGAAATCAAAGCTCACACTGCCTTATAAGAAACTTACATTCAAAGGCCTTGGGGGTCTGTGCAGATGGAAATGAAGTTGAATAAAAATCATCATTGCATTTAGTTCTGGAAGATTCTAGAGAATACACCATAACGGTTAGAGCCACCAAAGTCACATTTTATTTTGTTTCTTAAAATTTTATTTGTTTGTGTGTGTGTTTACTGTGGTGCTAGTAAACAAAGCTAGTTTACCGAGCACTCTACCTACCACTAAGCTATGTTCCCAGACTAACCTGGAGAGATCTGCAACAGATTTTCATATTTGAAACACTAGTGTTTGTGAGCGGAGGCATTAACGCTTCATAAGCCACATTCTTGTCCTGAGCTGAAATCCAGGCTTCCCAAACATCCCTGGTCTGTGTTAGCAATTCCAGAAGCTCCAGGGAGAAGCTGGGAGGAAGCCCAATGGCTACATTTGTACTCAAGTACCTTTTTTTTTTTCTTTTCTTTTCTTGAACAAGAAGAATACGCCTGTGCCAGCATATCACACAATAAAACAAGGATTTGGCACCGATCTCTATTGATTTGGTCAGGATAAGCAGCCAAACTAGCTATTTCATGCCAGAAATATGAGTTGGTTTGGCTGGCTCGGCCTGATTTAATGCACAGGGTAATAATTAAATGCCATGTCTGGTTATACTGAGTGAACATAGCCGAATTTTTTTCAAGGATTGGTGCTTTCTTGTGTTTTCACTCTAAGTGTGCATTTTCCTGCAATCCCTCACCACACGGGAAAACTTCACTGTCAAGCCCAGCTTTTTGGAAGGAAGGGAAAAGCGGTTGGCAGACAGTCTCTTCGGAGTGGAGCATACTGCAAGTGAAAGAGGTGATAGAGGAACGTTGGGCACAGTTATGAAAAACGGCAGTTTGAAGCCTACGTTGGGGGCATAGCGGAGGTTAGATCACAACATCGATGAAATTCATCTTGGGACTGCCATTCATTCATTCACTTGCAGCTGTAGTCTGTGTCAGACACCGTGCTAGACATCGGAGGTACCTGAATACAAAGGAAAAGTCCCCAAGTAGATGTACATTGGGTAGGAAGAGAGAGGCACCCCAAATTCCTCACCGCATACAGTCACAACATACGTGAGCAAATTCCTGTTCCAAGTTCACTGCTTCTCTGTATGCCCCAAAAGAAAGGCAGTTTGGTTTTGGTGGGTTTTTTGTTTTTGTTTTTGTTTTAACTTCTTGGTAATTTTATGTATGTATACAACGTATTTAGATCATATCCACCCTCACCTTCCTCTTGGTTCATATTTTATTTTATTTTATTTTTTTCTGAGATAGGGTTTCTTTATGTAACAGCTGTGACTGTCCTGGAACTCACTCTGTAGGCCAGGTTGGCCTCGAACTCACAGAGATCCACCTGCCTCTGCCTCCTGAGTGCTGGGATTAAAGGCATGCACCACCACTGCTGGGCTGGCTCACTTTTTAGAACTTGATTCCAAACCAGATTTTCTACAGCTGTGGCATCTCCCACCTGATGTCAACTACTCCAGAATTTAGACCAGCATAGATGTCATCCGCATTTCCCCATAAACATTTCTTCAAGTTAACATTGTTTTTACACAGCTTCAAATCACTGCTAGCAATGGAAACCTCCTGTCCATTGCCTTGGGACATGAATTATTGTGTTACAACACTCTGAAGTGACACCACTGCCTGACATAGACTCCGAGGGCCCAAGACCCTCACTATCATGTTTTAAGAAGGAAAAGAGAAATAATTAGCAAATGTCTATAAGATGTTAAGTATACCTTAGCCCTGGGGGCTTTCTCTTTCCTCTAACCCAAAGAGCAGAAAGGTAATTGTTCACTTTCTATGTGATTTCATACAAATGAGGAAAGTTTCTCTTCCTCCAGAACCCTATATTTACCCCTGGTTGGGAAATACTGGTGGTGTTCACCCATGCCTACAGTTTCTTTTCCAAATGACTGTCCAGATTCTGCCCAGACATTTCCAGGAACAGGAGATCCTTGGAACTCATTTGCCCTTGTAAAACTAAGGGTTCTTTTTGTACCCAAAACAAAAAAAAAAAAATTGAAAGAACCAGGAAAACAGAATACCTACTTGCCTGTAATTCCCTCTCCACATGACAGGCTCTCTTGTGATCAAATATTACTTAGACATTTTCCTTTCAAATACACACACCAGTGAGTGAATCCTGTGGGAGGGGAGAGCTGACAACATTCGAAGCCGACAAGCTCGAATCGCCAGCAAAGGATTCTTCTGACTGAGAACAGAGTGAAAATGAAAGCAGTAAATGAACCTCAGAGTGGGGCACTTCAGCTTCAGGAAAATAAAAGTCACAACGAAAGCAAACTAAGGTTTTGTCATTTAACACAAGTGATCAAAACAAGAGCGTGAGCTCGACAACTCGTAGTTCTCGGGCTTTCGAAACATATGTTAAGTGCTTGCAAAAATGGGAGCAGGGGTCAGCTGAGGGAAATTTAATATTTTGAACTATTAGTTGCCAAGCGTCTAACGTGCATCTAAGGCCAATTTGAACACTCTGGGCACTGACGGACAAGAACTCGAGGCAGGCTACTCATGTCTATTAGTTAGAATAAAAGGCAGCTCTCTGGAGAGAGGAGTGTCTGTAGGCTTCGCTCTCGTTTTTTTCAGTAACATGATGGAATGTGTGCTGTAGGCTAGGTGGGAGGGTTCAGTCTGGCCCCTGGATGAGAACTCGTAGTAGCTGTTGACAGTAAGAACGGCAAGCACTGTCCTCTCCTTGCACACATGAAAACTCAGCGGTAAGGACAGAGAACTTGAGTGGGTGGGCCTGTCATTAAGTCTGCTGCTTCCACAAGCCTCCTTTGTCTACGATCCTTGCAGTACCACTTTCCTATTAAAGTAAATTAAAGAACCCGTGAAGTTAATCCAGAAACAGCGTGGAGCCAAAGAGAATTCCTCCCTCACCACTGGGGGCCATTGGTTTCTGCCCTGCAGCGTGAGATTCCATTTCCTTGATCACAGCTGCATCATTTTAAATATTATCGTTGGTTATGTAACTTCCCAGTCTTTCCTGAAAGATTCAGCCATGTAGCGCACCGTCGATTTCACTGGGAACTGAACGCCGCTTCTAGGAGCAGAGCTTTAGGTCACCAAGCTTTGGGCAAACTCATCACCTACCTTAACATCCAAACCCAACTTACAGAGACCTGGAAGGAGTCGGCCATAAAGGTGCCTCATTTGAAGCCTGCGGGCTGTTCCTATGTCGTCTACTGTTGTTCACAAATGTGTAAAAGAAGGCTGAGCAACGCCTACCTGAAAAAGGAATTCCTAGGATATAGTGAGAGAAGCCTGCCCAAGGGGCAAGTCAACCTCCTGACTTTTTACATCAGGTATAAAGGAAATAAGAGCAATGTTTATGCCCGTGAGTTTGGGTAGAGGTAAGGTATAGACAAAGCCATTGAAATCTGGTTGTCACAGAAATGGTTATTTTTCCGAAATGACTGCTTCACTCAATAAGCAGTTACTGAAGCTTCATATATGCCAACTATTATGTTACCAGGGTCTAAGGATTCTTAAATGAAGAAGACAAGGTCCCTGTCATCCAAGAGTTCTTAGTCTGGTTTGTGGAGATTAATCCACAGTTGGGGTACGGAGGGTAGCAGTGACAGGTAGAATAACCCTAGTGGGGGACGTTGTGGAAGAGCCATAGTGCTACCATCTCTCTCTTTCCTCACCAGCATTCAGATTTCCACATGAGCAAATAATCCTGAGCAGGGAAAAGGTCTTGTTTGGTTGGTTACCTGAGTCATTCACTATTAAATGCAACGTGAGCTGGAGGTGGGGCCCCGTGAGTCCTGAAAAACAGGAGTTTGGAGTCCCAGCAAAAGTCACTGTGGGAAATGTGGCCTCACAGAAAGTCCGGGAGAGGGGTGGGTGCCTGATGAGGTTTCAGTGACAGAAACTGTCCCTTTCATAGGGGAGGTAGGAGATGGGAGCCCTTGAGCTAAAAAGGAAGTAGAGGCAATGTTGTATTGTCTGGCTCAGAGAGGCACTCCCCGCCCCCAAACCCAGCACCTCAGAAGGTGCTATCCAGCTACACCAGGTCCCTAGCTGCAGCTGCTTTCTTCAAGTGCGGCCTGCTGGCCCTAATTATGCCATGTGGAGAGTAGGGAGATCAGGGTTCACTTGGTGTCTCTTGGGTATCTGAACCCCCGAAAGGTGTCCCGGTGCTTCTAATGGGCCTGCTCCTCAAGTCATCCACCATCCGGACCACCGCCCACACCCAGGCATGTACCCAGGACTGACCCTGCCCCAGTTGCCAGGTGACAGGGTGGGACAGTGATGTGGCCCAGCTACAAAAGAACAGTCAGTCCCACAGAACTGGATGCTGGGGAGAGATTTTTGTGATGAAAGTGAGACAATTCTTCGTTTGAAAGCCTCGAGGTCACAGGCTCAAGGCTCAGGGTGGGATGCTGTGTTAGTTCGAAATTCTCACCTGTGAACTTCAGTAACTTCAAGTTAGCCGGTGGTTCAGGTCATTTCGGGTTTAGAAAACACTGTCGAAAATGTCAAAGCCTCCTGTTTTCCGCTAAGGAAAACCAGATGTTTCTCACCTTCGTTATCTATGTGGTGGTCTCCTCGAGACCTGCAATCCACACAGGTCTCTGGGTGTCTTGGGAAAAATAGAAGACCTTGTGCTCTTGATACCGTAACAGTAAGATCAGGATGAATCCTGTCATGGAGGTCTGTGCTTGAGGACAGCAGGTGGCCAAAGGGGGCAGGACGATCCTAAAATGAGACATCATAGTGTCAGTGCGGATTCTCTAACAGGAACACCATTAGAGTGAATATGCATTAAAACAAATGTATTAGGTTGGCTTATACAACAGGGTCCAAGTAGTCCAACAACGGCTATCTCATACTTGAAAGGCCAAGAACCCAGCAGTTGGTCAGTACATAAATTTGAGTGTTTCAGTAGTCCCGATCTGGAACATTCCTGGAGAACCAGTGGTCTTCAGTCCATTTGAAAGCATGATGAAGCTGATTCTGATACTAGCAAAGGAATCAGAAGTGTCAGGAATAGAGTGGATGGACTGGACCACAAGAATGAAGGCCAAGCAAGCAAAAAGCAAATGACTCTTCTTCTGTGTCCTTTTATCTGGGCAGCCACCAAGCGGCCACCCACATTTAGGGCAGGTCTTCCTCTATCAGTTATGGCAATCAAGACAATCCCCCACATGCACGTCCACAAGTCAAACTGTTGTACACAGTCCTTGATCGGGGCTCTCTTACCAGATGACTCTAGGTTATACCAAGTTGTTGATTTAAAGTAACTATCAGAACTGCTTTAGGCCCTCCTAATGACCAGAGCTTGTGATCTGAGAATTACTGTCCCATTCAGATTCATCAGACCATTTGGAGGTAGCACTTGGGCCCCAAATCTCTCTTCCCATAAGAGTTCTTCAATTAACTGGTTCAAAAAGGAGCCTGGAAATGGCTGTTTTCTTAATAGTTCTCAAGGTGGTTCTACTGTGGACTCAGGGTTGAGAACTACCGTGTTACAGTTTCTCTAGGATTGTCCTCTGGTTTCCAGTGCTAGGGTCCCCAGGGTTGCCCTTTAGTTACAAACAACTCTAATTAATTCAGCTGCTCCCTCTTCCAGGAAGCCTCTTCCTGGCTTTCCCCTACCTCTGCTCTAGCAGAGTTCCTAGTTCCTAAAGGCATGGGTTTGTTTCTTTTTCACGGTTACTACAACACCATCTGTCTCCACACAGAGGCCTCGGGAGAGTGCTGTGTCTTTGCCTCATCTATCCTTTGCATTGCCTAAAGAAAGTTCTTGGCAAGGCAAGCAAGACCTTTGACAGACTTCACGAGCCGCTGTGCCAGCTTTGTGGCCCGCAGCTTCCCTGACAGTTTCCTCTTTCGATGTTTTAGCCCTCAGCACTCCATCCTTCCTCCTTGTGTGTTTTGTCTCTTGGCACAACTTCTTCCACAGCCCTACTGAGGCTCTTGGACTTCTCCAAGATCCAGCTTAGCCTTCAGACCATGCATGAAGTTGTTCTTGCTTGCTTGTAGCTTTGGAGCCTGTCCTGGAACTTGATCTGTAGACCAGGCTGGCTTCGAACTCACAGAGATCCTCCTGTCTCTGCTTCCCAAGTGCTGGGATTAAAGGCGTGCGTCACCACCGCCTGGCTTGAACACTTTGATTTAAGGGTGTGCTAAGAGCTGGTCTGTCGTTATCTTAAAGCTAACTTTCTCAAACTATATTGCAGAAATTTCCAAAATTGAAATATAAGGATCAATATAAAAAACAAATCCTTAGTAGCAGCATTCCTACACCACACACTGAGTATTTATGAAAAATGGAAGCATCAGCCACTTCTATATTATATTTATAACTTGGCTTCTTTTCACTTGAGACTAGAATTTGAGCCATGTCTTGGGACCAAATACTTGACTTATCATATTCATCATATTCATTCCTTTGACTTGGACCCCCAGAAGCCAGACTTTAATGTAGTAATACCTAAGCAAAATAAAATTTCATAACATTGTTGTGAAAACAATTAAAAATGTTTATATATTAAGTTCTATATGAAGAAGTATTTACCATGGGAACATGTAACTCCTATGAGGTACAGTAACAAAGCTGTATTTCCATGAATGTAAAGCTATTAAATCTAAGTATATTGAAAATTTCAAATTTTCCAACATCATTTATGTGTATTGCTTCGGAGCTGTCAAGTCCGTTTCTGTTAGTATTCAAAAAAATTAGAAGGATAGAAGGGGTGAAGAAAATCTTATGGTGAAAAAAAAAAAACTCTTTAAGCTTGAGACAATTTGATCTATTACCTTGAATCCATTATTTTTCTCCTGAAATGAGCACAGGGCATCATTATTTTATTTTACCAGAAAGCATTTGCTTGTAGCTTATAGACCACAGGTGTTCTGTAGGGACATGTCTTGCAGTCACTATATAATTTACCATTAAACAAACATTCGAACTTCAGCGAATGAGATCAACTTCTTGGGAAGTGCTGTGTCCATCCAGTGAGAACTTCTGAAACAGATGTGATTGCATCAAGGTGTGTCATACCTTCTATTATTAGAACATACTTTGTGGCCAGAGTTGTCACCTCTGTGGCTTGGCCCTATTCATTAAATGACAGAAACTTACTTCACAGTTGAAAAACAGATTACTTCATTTCTATGAGTTCTCTAAAATTATTGCTTGTTATTGGTAGACTTAGATTTATTTTGATTGCACATATTTTAATAGGTTTTTTGAGAATGATTCACATGCATACAATTTATTTATACATACAAGTGAAAGTCTACAATGCAATGGCCTTTACCATATTCATAAACTTGCATAGTCATAATCACAATCAATTTTAGAAGAATTTTCATCACGTCAGAAAGAAACCATATTATTTGGCCATCATCTCCAAATCCCTCCATTCGTCTCAGTGCTAGACACACAGTCAATGTTCAATTCTTCACGCATCTCCGTATCACACAACATTCTAGACATCTCATGGAAAGAGAACACTCTGCAGTACATGTTCCTTTGTGACTCATTCTTTCACGGTAGCATGTTTTCAAGGTTCATTTGAAGTTTTTCCGCACATCAAAATTTTGTTCCTTTTTATAGCTGATTGATATTCCATTGACTTTTTTCACATTTGTCTTTCAATTCATGAGTGGACATTTGAATTGTCCTCATTTTTATTTTGTGTTATTTTGCTTCTAACTATTATAAAGAAGGATGCTATTAATATTTATAGGCATATCTTTTCATTTCTCTTGTATGTACAATTAGAATTACTGGGCTTTATAGTAGTTTTCTTTTGCCTTTAAAAAATTCAGTGTATTTTTTTTTTAATGGCTGCACTATTTTATCCACCAACAGTAGGAAAGTTCTGTGTTTGCCACTTTATTGCCAATCCTTGCTAGGAACTGTCATTTTGTTGACATATATTTTTGTCAAAGCCAGTACAAAACACTACCTCCTTGTGATTTAATTTGGATTTTTCAGATGGTGATATTGAATATCTTTTCATGTGCTATTGTCCATTAACTTGGAGGGATGGCTCTTCAGATACTTTCTGTTTAGTACTGAATTATAATTGCTCTTTCTGTGCTAAAATTATACTTTAAAAAAACCCTTCATACACAAAATAATGACAGCAGTTGCTATGTGCATAATTTGTCATAAGACGATCATGATTATTCTTGAGAAGGATCCTTTAGTTAGTGCTGTATGTAAGCACTCACAAATACTGAAGGCAAAACATAATGCAAAGAAGAAAACACTAGCAAAAGCTGGTAGTTCTAAACTAATAAGCACTTTTGAAATAAAATGTATCCCTTCCTTTAGAAAGTAACTACTGATGGCTTTGTCTAATATGGCGATATGTGATTTAAACGACATTTTGTTCCTCTAACGCACAGGGAGACTCTTGCTGTCATGTATGTTGTGTTTTAGCTAAAACCTAGACACCTGTGAGACAGTGGTCTTGGTGCATGTACACTTGGCTGAACTCCTTTGAAGTATAGATTCTGAATTTGTCAATTGCATATTTTTATGCAATAGAATTGAATACAGTATGCATTAACGTCTTTAGTTACATTTAATAAAAATGAAGTTAATTAGAAAATGATGCACATAACAGCAGTTTGAACGCATTTATTTACCTCTACTGAGCTATGTGCTTTAAAAAGGTTGAGGTGGACAATTGTGTTATATGACTTTATACAATTAAAACTTAAAAGCCCCAACCCCAGACAACTGTGGACAACTAAGGAATGCTGAGAAAAGGAAAAACAGCCTTTCCCAGGGAAAAGGCCCCTGTTTCATAAACACATTTTTCATACAAATATATTGCATTCTCTAACCATACCTCCCCACCCTTCCCTTACTCTCTCCTAGCTACTTACATTGATCCCCACAGTCTTGCTTTACCCCCATGTCATATGTATACATACGCACATCTGTGTGGGCCTTTTAGATCTTCATTGGAAGGATGTCTGTTCAGATTTATTATCCATTTTTAGTCATATTGTCTTCCTATTTTTGAACTCTAATCATTTCTTTCTATGTTAAAGTTGTACTTTAAAAATCAAATACACGGTGGTGGCACATACCTTTAATCCCAGCACTCGGGAGGCAGGGGCAGGTGGAGCTCTGTGAGTTCGAGACCAGCCTGGTCTACAGAGCGAGTTCCAGGACAGACTCCAAAGCTACACAGAAACCCTGTCTTGAAAAAAAAAATACACTAGATTACATGGCAATTACTATGTGTGCAGATGTGTGTGTGTGTGTGTTATGTAGCTATAGGCAATCTAGGATCCACAAAGGAGGAGAAAAAATGGTGTTTGTATTTCTGAGTCTGGCTTGTTTCACTTAATATGATGATCTTCATCCAGTTACATCTGTTTTCCAACAAACAATATAATTTAACTCTTCTTCATTTCTTTTTTCCCCCGTTTTCCTTTCCTTTCTTTCTTTCTTAATGACAAGGTCTCACTATGTAGTCCCAGCTGGCCTGGAAGTCACTGTGTGGATAAGGCTGGCCTCAGTACTCAGAGATATCAGCCTGCTTCTGCCTCCCAAGTCCTGGGAGTAAAGGCGTACACCATCATACTTGGCAATTTTATTTTTTTGCGGCTGAGCAAAACCCTACAAGCATTCTAAGTGTTTAGTACTAGCCTACCAATTTAACCTACTTCAGTTAATTTTGTTACTGCTGTTTCTGTGTCTTGTTTAGTTTTCAGTTTTTCAAAAAAGCTTTCAAAGCTCATCAGTTGCTACTTTGCGTTAGATAGCTTTCCCCCTGTCTGGTTATACTTTCTGAGATGAGTCTTTCAAATACTTGAGTTATCCAGAATAAGAAATGTTGGGGGCAGTGGTCAGCTAGCTGTCTCCTAGTTAAGACATTCTTCAGCGGAAGGAGGTGGTTGGGGGTCAGAGAAGGTGTAGGGAAAGGCACAAACTTCAGCATAAAACCTACTGGATTTTGCAGGAGTTCCCACTAAGGAATGTGGATCTAAGACCAGAATGTTGACACAAATCTCATTGGTATGAAGTGGATTTTACAGGCTACCTCGTTCCCTGGTACAGCTCAACTTACAGAATGCTGCTGCTGCTGCTGCTGTAAGTTCTGTTTGGGTCTTTGAAAGTAGATTGGATTAATACTCTTTATAATTCTGTTTCTGATGAGTTACAACTCAAAGCCTGTTGTTTTCAATTCAGAAAGTAAGCATTTGTCTTCCCTAGGTCTCCATTTTAAGTGTCTTCCAGAAAGGATCCTCTACTAGTGTTCTTCTAGTATCTTTCTCTTTTGAAAGCATAAATAAGACCTCAAACGCAAATCTATGCAGTGCATCTTAGAAGGGTGACCCCCCCAAATTGTGTGTGTCCAGGTATGGGTGCAAATACACGTGTGTGCACATGTGCATGTGTGCCTGTGTGCCTGTGGAGGCCAGGTGTCAACGTCAGGCATCTTCCTCCTTTTTTAATTATATATTTTATTGTTTTGAGGTTATGACATAATTGCATCATTTCTCCCTTTCCCCCCTCCAAACCCTCTCCTATATTCCTCCTTGCTCTTTCAAATTCATGACCTCTTTTTTCATTGGTTGTTACATACATGTATGTATATACACATATATTCCTAAATACGTAAATGCAACCTGCTCAGTCTGCATAATATTGTTCATGTGTTTTCAGGACTGACCATTGGCATTAGATAGCCAACTGGTGTGCTCATCCCTGAGGGAAGACTGTTTTTCCTACTGTCAGCATTCCGGAGTTGCCCGCACTTCTTTGTGTAGGGTTGAGGCCTTCTGTAGGCCCTCTCCTATCCATTTTAACATGTTTTTGGTTGTTGTCCCTTGACCAGGTCATGTTTGGGCAGTCCTGTTGGTGAGAATTTACAGTGTAGCTTCTGACGTTACCAGCAGACAGAGTCTCACAGCACACTCCCTGACCTTCTGGCTCTGACAATTTTTCCACCCCCTCTTACAAAACGATCCCTTTGAGAGTTGCTTTGCAGATGTGTCCATGGGGACTGCGCTCCACAACTCTGCCTTTGATTGGCTGCAGGGACATCATCTGCATGCCTGGTGACCCCAGAAGCGAGAAGAGGGTGTCAGATCCCCTGAAACTGGAGTTATGGATAGTTGTGACCCATGGTGTGGGTGCTGGAAACCAAACCCAGGTCCTCTGCAAGAACAAGTGTTCTTAACCACTGAAAAATTTCTCCAGTTCAGTTTCTCTCTTTTTCTGATGAGTAGGATTATAAGGTGGCTCTAAAGATGCCTTGAATGGGATAATAATCTGATAAGGTAAAACCAGGAGCCACTAGGATTGCAAGAAGGGTTAGGGACATGTCCTTTTGTTGTTGTTGTTTTTCTTTCTTTTTAATATTTATTTATTTAATGTATATGAGGGACCTATCTTCAGGGATACCAGAAGAGAGAATCAGATCTCATTATAGATGGTTGTGAGCCACCTTGTGGGTACTTGGAATTGAACTCAGGACTTCTGGAAGAGCAGCCAGTGCTTGTAACCGCTGAGCCATCTCTCCAACCCCATATATGTGTGTGTGTGTGTGTGTGTGTGTGTGTGTGTGTGTGTGTGTGTGTGTGTGTATGTGTGTGTGTGTGTATGGTGTTTCTTATATGACTCTTAGAAAAGTGTAGGTTAATAGCTGAAAGGGAGAAAGGCCTTAAGCATACGCCATGAACTGTGTTAGAATTCTTGATTCTGAGCTACCAAGAGCCTTCAACCAGACTCTAGGGTGAGAAGCCCTCCCTTCTCACGCCTTATCAATTTTTCTATTTTTCTACCCTGCCTCACAAAGTCAGTATTCACTTTAGCTGGTAACAGGGTCCCCCTTAAATTTCAAACTGTGTGTGTACTCAAGTCTATCGTAAGATAGTGTAGTGTTTATGTGTAACCTACATAATCCCTCCCCCTTATAGATAACTTATAATACCCGTGATGGACTTTCTATCTAAGCACTTTAAGGCCTAGAGACTTTTTTTTTAATTTGCACGTGTTCAGGACAAATGAAAGTGCTTCCCAAATATTTTCTGTGTGTGGTTGGTTGACTCCACAGGTGTGACATCCATAGACGTGGAAGCCAGACTAATGCATGTGTTGATTACAGGTCATTCCATTATGTTCATTCAAGAAAACACCCCCAGAAGAATCCCTAGTACAATCAAAATGGGAGCTACTAAGTGATCTTTAAGGAACCAGAGCTATGCCAGTAAGGGGAAATGAAAGATGGTCATGTCTTTCAAAGTTGGTGCCAAGGAGGGCCACATTGTCACCCTTAAACACTGGTTGGTGTGATTGTCGGAAATGAAATGGATTATTAGTCAGACCAAGGGCACACTGGCTGTACCTTGCATGCTGTCCTTGATGACAAAGGATATCTGTTCTCCACTAACAATTGGTTTCCTCTGTTTATTTTGCTTCTGCAGATTATCTTTTCTGTGTTGAAATCTATACGAGGGCATAATAAAATACAAACCCTCAAAAAAAAAAAAGTAAACAAACTATCGCAAGCTTCTCAGAAATCTGAATGTTAGACATTGTTGCACACTGCCCGCTTGCTGTGGTTGAACAGAACCACACTCTGGTATGTGTATGGGCTTTGTTCTTCCGCCACAAGCTTTGCTTTCGGTGACTCAGCACCAGTTCCTCTCCAAGCACCAGCTACATGAGGGCAGAGAAGTGGCTCTGCTTTGAACTTTGCAGTCAAGCCTGGCCCTGCAACTTGCACCCACGGCCGGGCGCTCTGCAAGCCTATGTAAAGGGTCGTGAAGATGCCTCATCCTCCTAGTAAGAAGGGGGAAATACTTGACAGTTTCATAATGCGGTTTATACAGGAGAAAATCCGACATTACCCCTAAGTCTTCGGAATTTTTCTGTTTCAACAGTGCCTAAAAGTAATATTGAAAGGGCTATTTCTGAGAAAATGAAAAACTTGGAACCCCCTGCCTTAGTGGAGGACAGAGTGTGGTTGGTGTGAGGGGAGCAGAGGTACTGGCAAGAATTTAAAAGCACATTATACTCACCCACATTAATTGTGCTATTGGAGTACCAAGGGATAGTACTGTGTCCATAGCATGTTTCTGGTTGAAATGATCTCCATTCTAAGGCCCTCATGTCATTAGTCAAGCACCCTTTATGTATCTGTTCTAATAAAATACAGGGGCTAGGGGACACTATCTATTGTGAAATGTGGTTTCAATATGGTTTCATTTGTTTTTCTTTAATTACTCTATTGGAAATGTGTTCTCTCTCTCTCTCTCTCATTTCAAATGAGTCAAATTTGATCATTTTCCTCTTGGAATACCCTCTGGGCCCTGCAAGTTCTCAGCAAACACACATTGTTGGTCAGTTTCCATTTTCAGCCTCATACCATTCACAATGAAATGTATTAAGATAAGTTAAATGAAATAAATTGCCCATTTTCTATTTACAAAGGGCAACATTAGCTGCCATGAATTTCACTGGAACAAAGCATCCTTGATCGTTCCAAACAAATGTTTTCACTTTTGACATCCCATCAAGATATACTCAATTTCAAATGGACTGTTCGCTAAGGGGAGTATTTCCTCTGGCATTCAAAAATCACTCCAAACATTGGCCAAACGAAAGAAGGGGGCCCAAAGAACAAATGCATCAGTGAGAGTAAAATCTTCCTTGGCAAGTGATTTCTGCCTTTCTATCCATTGTAAACTTAGGACAGACCCTGGTGTGGTGACCATGCCTATACTCCCAGTACTTGGAGGAGGAAGGCAAGAGGATCAGGAGTTCAAGGACAGCTTGGATGACATGAAACCATCTTTAAAACAAACAACAAACAAAATTTTAAAAAGTCAGTGACCCTTCCAGTGATGGTGATTTGTTAGCTCTAGAAGAAGGGAGATGTATATTCAACTGAAAGATGTTTCTTTAATAAGAATCCAGACTTCAGAGATCTGTTTTATTCTGTATTGTTGCTTGGTTTTGCTCTTTTGTGGGGCCTGCCACCCAGCTCCCAAATAAATCACACACAGAGGCTTATTCTTAATTATAAATGTTCGGCCTTAGCTTGGCTTGTTGCTAGCCAGCTTTCCTTAGCTTAAATGATTCAGTCTATCTTTAGCCTCGGGGCTTTTCCTGTTCTCTTCTGTAAATCTTACTCTTACTCTGTGGCTTCTTATGTAGCTGGGTGGCTGGCCCCTGGAGTCCTCCTCCTTCTCTGGTTACTTCTCTTCCCTCCCAGATTCCTCCTTCTATATATTCTCTCTGCCCGCCAGCCCTGCCTATCCTTTCTCCTGCCTTGCTATTGGCCATTCAACTCTTTATTAGACCATCAGATGTTTTAGACAGGCAAAGTAACACAGCTTCACAGAGTTAAACAAATGTAACATAAACAGAAGTAGCACACCTTAAAATAATATTCTACAACAATTTTATAACTAGAATCAGTTTTTGAGAAAGGGCAGCAGTTGCCACAATTATTATCATCTATAGCAGCTCTTTCATCTCAGTTTATCATGGTAACTCCATGGCTTTTTTGTTTCTAGTTTTTCTTAATCGAAACCTTGATTTGGAAAGGGCTATGGAGCCCTGTTATTTGAATCATCAGTACTTTCCTACAGCATTGGAGTTAGAATGCCATGTGTGGCCTTTTAATTGTCTCATTTGGCGAAAGCACCCACTGGCATTAAGCTGACTGCTTGGTTTGTGTGGGTTTGATTTTTGAGGACCAATCACATAGAGAGATGCAGGGAATCATGTTTTGTTCTTCTACATACTTACACATTAAGTTCCTTAAGCTTCATAGTAGGTGGACTTTTCTGTCCTGCCAGCCACTCCCCAAATAACCACACAGGGACTTAATATTAATTATAAATGTTCAGCCAATAGCTTAAGCTTGTTCTTAGCTAGCTCTTATAACTTAATATTAACCCATTTCTATTCATCTATGTGCTGCTCCAAGGCTCATTTACCTCATCTACATACTTCCCATCCTGCTTGCTCTGCATCTCATGGCGCCTCCTCTGACTCCACCTTTCTTCCTCCTAGCATTCCTCTGCCCCCAAAATCCTGCCCAGCTATTGGCAAATCAGCTCTTTATTAACCAATGAGAGTAATACATATTCATAGTGTACAAAAAGATTGTTCCATAGCACTCCTCTGTCTCCTGGGGGCTGGGAAAGTAGTTCAGTGGTAGCATGGCGCTTGCTTAGCATGCACAGAGCCATGGGTTCTATCCTCAGCATAACATAAAGCCAGGTGTGTCAGATCATATGCCTATAATCCCAACACAGTGTGATAGAGGCACTTAGGATAAAAAAAAAAAAAGAGAGAGGCATAAAGAGCAGGGCTGCAAATTACAAAAGCCTTTCTGTAATTTGTTACCTGATGTTTTTTTGTTTTTAAGTATTTCTATCTTCTTTGGGAGCTCCATTTCAATAGATTCATTCTAAAACAACCCCCAACTATGCTGAAAGGATAAGAAATAATCCACTTTGAGGAAAAAACCCTAAAGAAAAGTCCAGATCAGAGCACCTCGAAAATGTGCCAGTCCCAGCAGGATAGAACAAAAGCACCCTCCGCCTTCTCAGTAATGGGTAGTAATGGAACCACTTACTCTGTTTTTAGTGCTGGGGTGGAAGAAGCAGAGTGAGCTATGCGAACTTAGGTTTGCAGAGACATTGAAAGTTACTCTAATATCCCCGACAACTCATTTCCTTCTCTCAACACTTGAGTGAAGTCTGCCTCAGCAATTGGAGATCTCGGTGTTAGTTTTCACAGGATAATAACCTTTTTTCCGTTCCTCCACAGATAACTTTAATGCATTTAGATTTTTGGCTCTAAGTTTAAGAAGCATCAGTAGTCTACCTTGAGGAATATATTGCTGAGCAAATGTGAAAGCTGAGCTCGGAGATGTCTGTCTATTTTACAGTTGGAAAGCCAATGGCGTCCTCACTATAGGCCTGTGGAGGAACAAGAATAAATATGTGGGTAAATGCATACACATCAAGTCTGGGGTGGGGGCAGAAGCCTTCTCTCCTGAATGTAGGACAATACTGCCAGAATCTGAAAGATCTGGCAAAATAGAAAGATCACTTTTTGCTGGAATCATTTATCTGCCTCTAAAACGAAAGGATAGCTTTTTTTTTTTAAAGGAAGTTTCCTTTTCCCCTAAATGTAATTATAATAACCATATCGTTCTTTAAAATTCACCAAGAGCCCTTTATTATCATCGGCCAGTCCAGTTTCAAAAATCTCCATCTCTAGGCCTCACACACAAAGAAATCTTGAGTTCAGGACCAGCCTGGTCTACATAGTGAGTGAGGCCAGCATGACCTACATTGTAAAACCCTGTCCAGAAAATGAAAAAGAAGAATAAAATAGCCCTCCATTTCCTTTTCTTTCCTTCCTTTCTTTTTTTTAAAAAATTTATTTTATTAGCCAGGCGGTGGTGGCGCATGCCTTTAATCCCAGCACTTGGGAGGCAGAGGCAGGCGGATCTTTGTGAGTTCGAGGCCAGCCTGGTCTAGAGAGCGAGATCCAGGAAAGGCGCAAAGCTGCACAGAGAAACCCTGTCTCGAAAAACCTAAAAAAAAAAAAAAATTTATTTTATTAAACAGCTCTTACCTCTTACTTTATAGCTCTGGTTGATCTGGAATTCACTATGTAGACCAGGCTGGCCTTGAACTCACAGAGGTATGTCTGCCTCTGCCTCCTGAGTACCTGGATTAAAGGCAAAAGCCACCATGCCCAGTATTTCTCTCTCTCTCTCTCTCTCTCTCTCTCTCTCTCTCTCTCTCTCTCTCTCTCTCTCTCTCGTGTGTGTGTGGGGGAGTTGAAAAAGAACATAAACCTGGGGAAGAAGTCATCTATTTTAGATTTTGAAAGGAAAAAAAAAAGAGTTGAAAAGTCTGTTTAAAAGAAGTCACAGATAACACAGAAACTAAGGTTAAGCTAGGAAGTGGGTCCATCCTTGGGTTGCTCCCCGATTGGCCGTGCTGGCTAAGTCTACCTCCTTTACTGTTGACTTCTGTCTATGGCCCCCTCCTTCACTTTCTGAAAACACCATGTCAATCCCGATCCTCCACAGTGAGCTCCCTTCTGGTCTCCCTGGTTTTCCCCCAATCCCTCTCTCCAGGGTCTGGCTCTTCTCTTGCACACTTTTCTCTGTTACATGAAGCCAGGACAAGCTTTCCAAAGCTCAGCTCTGAGCTTATTCCCACACTGCTTTTGGAATGAAGTCCAAACTTCTTAACAGGTTTGGTGTGGGTCCTGTCTGTGTTCCATCTCAGTTCTCATTCCAGCCAGCCACTCCCCGCACTCCTGCCAACGCGTCTACCTGGACTCTTTTCTCTGCTTCTTCACCTGACATCCTGCCTCACTCTCAGGTCTTACCAGCCACTCACTCCAGGAATCTTCTTCTACCTTTGCATTGTAAGTAGGTAGTCCCACTGTCCGTCTGCCTTCACCTCCTCCACCCAACTGTGACCCCAATGCCAGGACCACTTTGTTCAACATTTGCATCCCTAAGAATTGGCCACTGTAGTTTTTGGAGATTCCTGAGAGCCTTAAGTTCTTTTACAGTGTTGTGAATGTCTCTGCTTTCACTTTCGAAAGCAGTCTATACTGCACAGCAGTTGACAGAGGTTCCTTTGGGATGCTCCAAGGTCTGCTCAGAACTGCTTCCTTGGGCAGTATTAGACCAGGAGAGAGAGAGAGAGAGAGAGAGAGAGAGAGAGAGAGAGAGAGAGAGAGAGAGAGAGAGAGAGAGATTGACCTAAGAGATATTTTGTTTTCTACTGCCAATTTATGCAGTTGGATTTTTTCCTTCCATCCTTCCTTCCTCCCTCCCTCCTTCCCTCCCTCCCTCCCTCCCTCCTTCCTTCCTTCCTTCCTTCCTTCCTTCCTTCCTTCCTTCCTTCCTTCCTTCCTTCCTTGCTTCCTTCCTTCCTTCCCTCCCAGACAGAGAGCTTTGTCATGCTTTTCCTGGAAAGATTCACTGACTCAATCTTTTAGTTAACATCGGTGGAATGCCTACTTAACGCTGTGGCATGCAATCCGCCCTAGGATATGGGAGTGTGCCAGTCTGCCATGAAAACAGTAAGCATGACACGGGAGTTTTCTGTTTGCCAGCTAGCTTGCTTCTCTGACAGGCATTTCTGGATGTGAAGAAAGATATGTTTTGGCATCCCAGCTCCAACTAGAGTGGGCATGTACACACACACACACACACACACACACACACACACACACACAGTTTGCTCACCCTCAGTACCTAGGACTACATGTCTTCAAAGTTCGGAAGCTTCATTTATACTACAATATAATAGCTGGCTCTCAGAAACTTTCAAGGGGGAAAGGCTAGCTCTCCCTCTCCCAGAGCTGAGTACCATCGCTCAAAAACAGAACAACGTGTGATTAGTGTGCTCTATTCATCCTCTGCATCAATAACAGGTATACAGTTACTGAGACAAAGGGCTAGATTCACGTCTTCTGGAGGCCTCCAGAGAATTCCCATAGTTACCCACAGAGCAAGAACTGGGCCAGTGGGAAGTACCCCAACCTGGCTACATGTTACCAACACTGCTGTATCACAAGTGGCTCCTTCCAGAGTCACCATAAGACGGAAACGCACCGTGCAAGAAGCTCAGGTAATGTGTACACATACGGTTTCCAGATCAAGAATAAAGTTAATACCTCCAAAAGTTGAACTGGAGAAATTAATAGGGCCACCGAAAGTCCTGTGAAATGCTCTAGGTTAAAGTGCAGAAAACTACGGTTCCTCTGCCAGAGAACATAGGCACAGCTTTGAAAAGCCGTGTGAGAACTCAGATTGAAGTTTGTTGCTAGAGTTTTCCTGCCTGGCCCACAGTCAGGACAAATCTCTCTCACCCGCCAGTCCCACAGCCTCTCAGACCCGACCAAGTAAACACAGAGACTTATATTGGTTACAAACTGTATGGCCATGGCAGGCTTCTTGCTAACTGTTCTTATAGCTTAAATTAATCCATTTCCATTAATCTATACCTTGCCATGTGACTCGTGGCTTACCGGCATCTTCACATGCTGTTTCTCATCATGGCGGCTGGCAGTGTCTCTCCCTCTCAGCCTTCCACTTCCCAGCTTTATTCTCCTCCTTGTCCCGCCTATACTTCCTGCCTGGCCACGGGCCAATCAGTGATTTATTTATTGACCAATCAGCAACATATTTGACATACAGACCATCCCACAGCAGAAGTTTCATTTGCTTCTTGAAGCGTTTTCTGAGATGGACTCCTTACGTTTCCCCATACCTCCCAGAGACCTGGATCCTGACTGAACACGCATGCTCAGGAGAGGTTTCCCGTAACAGTCCTGCACGTCTGCAGTATGGAAGCAGCTTCCCCAAGCAGCACGCTTCTCAGCAGCTGCTTTCCATTCCTTCATGTTCCTCCCCAAGGAGATGGCTCATACCAGAGGCGTGAACAGGTGCTAGACATCATGAGAGATGCTAGCCCTCAAGAGTTGGGTTATTTCATGTCTCCTATTTAGAATTTCAGGAGCCTTTAGGCTTTCCATGTGTTCACATGTTCGCATGGTCACAAAAACTCTCAATTGCTGGCTCCATGTTTCTCCCCTCACCAGCTCTCCCAACCTACTCATTGATTCTGACAAGATCACTGCTAAATCCTTGGCTCCTGGTCAGATCTGGTAAACATGCATGAACAGATCTGACGCGGCAGTTAAATCACTCCTTCTCTTGAGATAAGCTTCTCCAGCCAACTGCAGGGGCGTTGCCAGAACACCAACTTACACACTATTGGTTCCAGGTCCCCCTCTCTGGGTCGCCTCTTTTCGTCTGCCACATACAGGTCCTTATTTCTCAACGTCACATGCTGTGAGACAGATCTGGCGAGACACTGTACTCCCCTGGGTGGTCAGGCTTTGAGAACACATGCTGTGCTGCATTTCTGTCCATCTCTCCTACAGCTAGCATACAGTATGTGGTCAATACATGTATCTCAAATAAGCCAAGGATGGTTAGATAAGAAGATGGAGAATGTTCATGCTTTCTTCTTCATCCACTTAACCTCAGAAGACCTGGAATCCACTTGGGGGTGGGCTGTGAGGTCCCTCCGCTGCTGAGAAGTACACCCCAGTTTTTTCAGGTGCATTGAAAATGTAGCATGCGTTGTCCACGCCAGTGAGGATGTTCTTTCAAACTTCGATTCAAAACAGAACTTAAGGTTCATCTGCCTGTCTTATGTTCCGAATCCTCACTCATTACTATCCCACTCATCTTTCCCCCACCTCTCAATTTAAAATAGTTTGCCTATTTGTCCTCTTTTGAAAGATATTCCACAGCATCCAGGAGGTGTTTTGCAAAGTACTGTGGCTTCCCAAGGACAGTTGATATGCCTCTTGGAGGCATCGATTACAGCCTTTCCTTTATCTCCCTGTCAAACCCTGTATAGCTCTGAGCTATCACTGAACGTGCTGTAAACAGTCCGGACAGCAAACGCGTTCGTGCTTCATTCCTTTTTCGGGCTGCGTTGCATTTGTGCTCCGAGTTTTGCCCAGCACCAAACTGCCCAGCTTAGGTGATTCATTCATTCAGTATTGAGCTCCTCTGGCAAGACGTTGATGAGGGAAAGCTCAGTGCTGCTAACCTTGACCTCCAGCCCCTTCATGTCTCTCCTCTGCAGCAAGATGTTTACACCTGAAAAGTTAAACTGGGGCCCATTGAAAGGTACAGAGAATAGTCAGGCTACCGTGGGCTTATTTTTGGTTATTCCTGCTTGGTTTTTAAGAAAATAAAACTTAAGGGCTACCAGACTAGTTTCTATACTAGACTCAGCCCTGACTGACTGTGAAAGTCCTTTTTACATTTGGGGCTCATTTGTGCAGTGGGAATTGTAGTAGCAGTGAGAATAATAAAGACTCTTTGCGCCGGGCGGTGGTGACGCACGCCTTTAATCCCAGCACTCGGGAGGCAGAGCCAGGCGGATCTCTGTGAGTTCGAGGCCAGCCTGGGCTACCAAGTGAGTTCCAGGAGAGGCGCAAAGCTACACAGAGAAACCCTGTCTCGAAAAACCAAAAAAATAAAAAAATAATAGTAAAAAAAAAAGTAAAGACTCTTTGCACCGGGTGGTGGGCTGAGTGGAGACCTCAGCTGTAAGCCACCTAACCTGAGTCTGAACTAGTAGCAGTGATAATCACAACTCTTAGATTCTGTTTAGCATCATGAACATGAACTTTAGAAACTTTCCATCTTCCTTGGTGGAGCGTGTCAGACCTAAGGTCTTACATGTGGAGACAGCCCAGAGTGCAATATTTCTTTAGCCATGGCCCAGGTCCCCCTGGCATCCCCACTGGCCATTGCTGGCCAGTTTCAGAGATGACAGTGTGTGTGTTTCTCCGTTGCTTTCAGCTGACATGCCTTCTGAGTCTTGTTCACTACAGCTGTGAAGGTTGCTCACTGAAAAGCTACTTCTTGTGACCCTTTCCCCCCCCAAGTAAGCAAGCGACACCTTTGTATTTCTACAGTAGATTTTTTTTTTAAGAAGAAGAAAAGAGAGAGAGAAGGAAAGGGAAAGAAAAAGGAGTTTGCCAAGAAAGCACGTGACTTGGTGAGATCGGGAAGATTTCAGGTTTTGTTAGTGTACTAGGTTTCACGTTAGTACTCTGAAACGCAGCCTTGAGCTGACTTGTGTTAGCAAAGGCCGTGAAACGTTCATTCAGTCCTGGTTACACCCATAACAAATGGTGTCATTTTGTACATCAGTGAGCCTTTTGGGGTCATTGGTACTGCTTGCCAAACCAGGAGGGCCGGGGCTAATTTTGACTTTCTGATGACAGACTTGGTTTCCAAGGGTGTTTGTGGATTCCCTGTGGATTTATGTTCTCTGCCACTCTGTTTCCTTTGCATAAAAATGAGGGCAGGATTGGGAATGTGACTCTATGGGGGTGCTTGCTTCAACTTGTTCTCGGCTCTGAGTTCAACCCAGTATCAGATAGACAGATAGATAGATGGAAGGATGGATGGATGGATGGATGGGTGATTGGATGGATGGATAGATAGATAGATAGATAGATAGATAGATAGATAGATAGATAAATGGGTTTCAGGCAAGTTAAAAGTCATACTGTATGGTTTACTTAAACTGGAACCAGTCTGGACATTAGCAGCTCTTAGTAATTATGTGATGTGCAGCTTGCAGCTGAAGCTATGAATGTTGAACCATGTGTTATTGTCGCTCAGATCACTCAGCTGTCCACCTTAATCTGGTTAAATGATTTTCTGATTGATGGATGGCATCATGACTTAACCCAGCGCAACTGCCATCAGTTATTGAGTATAAATGGCATACCAGCTACTGAACGTAAATACTTAGCATATACACTGTGTGATACTTTATAAAATGTATTTCCTAAAGTTACAAGCTCAGCCTCAAAGTTTTTTCACAAAATATCTTGCAATTGCTCCGTGTACTAAGGATTCTATCATTTAAAAAAATTGCTCTTTTACTATAATGACTTTTTGGTTGTGGGATTTCTGATACAATTTATCTCAGTTATTCAGAAAAAATGTAGAATCTCCCTTAATCCCTTTATCAGTAAGACAGAATTTGATAAAAAACAGTGAGGTGTCCAGATGTGGTGGCATATACATGTAATCCCAGCACTCAAGAGGTAGACACAGAAAGATTGAGGCACATTGAAGGCCAGCCGAGGCTACACACTGAGACCCTGTCTCCAACAAAGAAACAAACAGTAACAAAAGGTAATCAGCTAGATTGTAACCCTACTGAACATTTATATCTCGAGTATTTCAGGTTCCACATTAACCTGGGAACATCCCTCATAAAAAATATTCTGGTGTACTTTCCCCAGAAATACCTATTCTGTTTCATATCTTATCAACAGCTCAAAGCCATGGAAAGCACTCACTGGTGTTTTCAGATGGTGTAAAGGCCCCCACCCCACCACCACCATCGCTGCAAATGCCTGCACTCACAATGAGAATCACTTCAATAGGCTACAGTGCTGGATGGAAACCAGCAAGATGAACTGGAGCGGGCAAGCGATGTACACTTCTACTTTTAGATTCAAAAGGCAGTTGCGCAATTACAGGATGGGAGCAACTGAGCTTGGCAGCAGTTCCTGTGACTAAAAGCTTAATAAGAACCAACGGTAGGAAGGGACGGCTAAACAGAACGAATGTAGCTGTGTGCTTCCATGGTAGACATATTAATGGCTCGCTTTACTCTGCAGTGGTCACACTGAGTTGGGAGTAACGTGCTGGGTTCCAAGCACATTCAGGAGGGACTTTAACAAAGCAGACTAGCTATTAAGAGGGTGTTGAATCCAGTCCAAGATACATTTATGGGGCTCCTGTTTCGAGCAGGCAGTGTGCAAACTAGGGCCGGCCATAAAGCGAGGAAGAGACATTGTTGGTCTCTAGCCTCAAGGACTTGGACACATAAACGGAGAGCCAGACAGGTAGGTACATGACTGTACAACAAAGCAGACTCGGAAAGCCAGAAGCACAAAGAATGTGCTGTGGGAATCTGGGGGTGGGGCCGACTGTAGGATTTGTACAGGAAATGAGGAAGGCTTGAATGCGAAGATGTAGAGACAGGAAAACTCGGGTACCGCTGAGGAATACTGAGCAGTCTAGGTTGGCTGGAAGGGCCGGGTAAGGCTGAGAGGAGGGAACCGACCTGAGAAAAGCTTGGGGACAGAGCATGAGGACAGTGGTTGGGGGTGGAAAAGACGCTCCAGTTAACGAGCCTTGGGAAATAATGACACAGGACAACTCCTGGGGAAGGGTATTTAGTCAAGAGGAAAGATGGCCAAATCGCCCTGGTGGCTGTGGGTCAGATTTACTCTGGGTACTTCCAGAAGTAAAAATGTGTCTCGGAGGGTTTCCAATGTTCCTGAGTATGGGTTTGATGCTGTTTGGTTTTTGTTTTTTAATCAAAACTGCCCAAGTGAAGCAGGGAATACTTCAGCGCTTGTGAATAACACCCCGGATAGACTCAGGTCTCTGGCCCGAACGCTGAGGAGAATCTTCATCATGATGTAGTGCATGAACAAGTGAAAAAAATCGTTTCAGCAATGAACGCCCCTTTAGAAAGAGCAAGAAATTGTTAATACAACTTTGCAACTCCTCCGACTCGTTCATTGTTATAGCGGGCCAACCATAGCCCTGAATCGTTCATTTAAAGCCCATGTTTGCGTCTTGTTTTTCCCTCTTCCTTGCTGTGAGCACCGTATTCCTTCTTAGCAATATCCCCCATGCATCCCCACTGGCTGCATCACCCTCCACCCTGTTCCCGCACTCTGAGTTAAATTAAACTTTTTCTACCAGCCAGCCCCACACCTCGTCACTCTCAAGTCAACCAAATGTCACCTCTGTCCCCTTTCTTTTCTTCACACTCCTAGATCCCTGGACCATTGATAATGAATGTAGTTTATTGAGGCACATTTTAGGCCAGCCTATGCTACACAGTGAGTTCAGGGCAGCTGGGGCTACATGGCCATCCTAGATCACTCCTAGGATCCCTGGTCCATTGGTAATAAGTGTAGTTGGATGTAGGAAACTGTCCAATTTTCTTTGGAGAATATTTTTTAAGAATCTTGATCACCTCCTTGAAAAAAAAACCTTTAAAATAGGAAAGTGATGGGCGACAGGAAGAAATGAGCGCTACAGAACTCAAGCAGCAGTCACAGAACCAGCTCCTTTCTCTTATATTTTTGGTTGTGAGCCCAGCCTTTAACGGCTGAGCCATCTCTCCAGCCCGCAGCCCCTTTCTCTAGAAAGCAGCCAGTTGGGAAAGTGTTGGCCACTGCTGGTGGAACGTATCAGAAAACCTCCAGTCCATTGTTGCCCCTGTGCCTGGGGCAGAAACACAGCTTTTCCTGTTACAAGGTGGGAAACGGTCGTGCTCCCGCCAAGGACAGAGATGGGAAAGGCTGACTCGCTCCAGCCCTGAGGACTGTTTCACTCCATGACTGATATTGCTTTATTGTTTGGCTCAGGTAGCTGGGCAAATATAATCTCTGACTCCCTGGGTGTGTCCATTCCTTCATAGATTAGATAAGAACAATCGATGAGCTTTTAAATGCTGAGAAAGCTAATCAGAACCGAAAGGGAGTCACAGCCAAGAAATAACACCGAGAGAAAGGCACCTACTGAACTTGCCTCCTCTACCTTCCCTTTTCCTCTGCTTTTCAGTTTCCCAATCTCTGTTTTTTGTCTTTTCTCTCTTCCTGTCAGCCCGTCAACTCCCTTCTCCCCACACACCCTTCTTTCCTCCCCTCCCAGCCCAAACGCCATCCCCAAAGACTGAATTTGGCACACTCTACCTGATCAGAAAGTGCGACTGAATTTGGCTTTTAAATATATTCTTTTAAAGAGTAAATAAGATTCACATTTAATTTAGGAAATAGATGATCAAAGTTTGCTCTGACTGATTTAAAAAAAAAATGCATCTTCTTTAAAATTCCTCATTTCAGGCTCTGGTCGTGAACTTGAACCCCAATCCCATTCCAAATTAGGTTCTGGTTCCAGAATCGTAGCGTGCCAAGGAATGGGGTGAGGGTGGAAGATGGATGGATATGGGTTTGTGTGGGCGTGTGTGGCTCTTTTGACCGTAGGAGGATGCACCCTGGGCTGGAGCCATTGTCATGCCTCAGCTGTTCTTTGGGGAAGCTGGGCCAGGTTGAATTGGTTTTCAGCATCCATGCTGTTTTCAACTTCTCTGGGGCTTTCACTACACTTCCTTTTCTTCTATGAGGGACAAGAGCCTTGCGTGGGAAGAAAAAAGCAACCCACCCCCCTTGACATCTGCCATGTTCAGCTCTCAACTACACATATCCTCTGGCTAACTTTGGACAAGTGGAGCCCAGTTGTAAAATCCGTTCATGGCCATTCAGCATTCCGGCAGTTAGGAGACACACTGTCGTGGTCATCTTCATAAAAAAAGGCCTGCAGGAAGGTCTATTCCATGGCAGGAAACATAACCCAACTGTAAAAAGGGCTGTTTTTGGAAATCACAAACCACTCATCCAGTGGTTGGTTGCTAGTTGTGATTTGGGAGGGAGGAAAGACAGAAGGGGGCCCTCAGCTGGGGCTCTGGCCCTCAAAGAACTTCCCCTCATTAACCCAAAGCCATTGACCGCCTCCGCAGGCCCGTTCTATTAGTGAATTCACCTACTTTCCCACTGTTAGGGCTCCTGGTGGGTGCCACAAGAGGCCTACCACGCAGAGGAAGGCACGTCTTCCCACAAGCAAGGGGATTATTTTCAAAGTCAGCTCTCCAGGTATGATCAGGAGTCTCTGACCACCCTGATGTCCCCTCTACCCAGCACACACTTGTCTTTTTCCTGCTTTTTTCCATGGTCCTGGGGTTTCTAAATCTTGGCAGGAAGACAGTGATTCCTTTGTGCTGGGCTGTTACAATGAGGTAACCGAAGAAAAGGTCTTGGTCTGAGGCTGTCAGCTGTTACTAATCACTCTTCCCCTGCCTGTCGCGGGTCCACTCGCCTCTCCCTCTTGCCCTGCTTAGCACACATAAAGAAGATGAATTACTCTCTGGTTCCTCTTCAAAAAAGCATATTGTGTGACACATTCCAACACTGTGAGTAAAGGATGGGCTAATGTGAAGGGTAAATGGGCATCTAAACCACCTCACAGGGGGTCTCGCACCCGCAGCTGGGAGCCTCTGAGACAAGAGTTTCAGAGTTGCCCCCTACGACCATTTCCGGTGACCTCTCTGAGACTGACAGGAAGTCCCTGGGGTAGGGTCCAGAGTAAACAGCACCACCAGAATTACAGGGCTGGATTAGGACCAGAACTAAGAGAGTGAAAGCGTGGGCACTCAGGGATCTCATTGCCATTCAGGCTCAGAGAGGGAGCTTCCAGGCTAAGGTTACGCCAACAGACACTTTGGCGCTGGTATCGGAGGTAGCAATAATGGACCTCAGTTTCCCCTCTCTGCTTCTGTCTATGTGAGTCGAAAAACAAAGCAAAACAATTGCACCACAGCTATGGCCAGAGAAAAAGAAAAAAGACCGTCTGTTTAGTCCTCGAAATCTGAGGAGAAAAGTGATTTATTTGGCTTTTTCTGCCATCAATAATATTGTCCACTCCACTGATTTTTTTTTCCCATTGACCAATCTTTCAAAAAGAGAGTTCCTTGTTTACTTTCCTATGCTTCATTTTTCTAGGGAACACTGGAGCTCAAAGATGTGGTTAACAAGTTTTAGAGGTCAAATTAAAAAATCAATTTTCCTGACAAATTATATCCGTCATATATGCCATCAAGTGTTAGGGCCGGTTGCTTTCATGTATACGAACTTCTAAAGCTAAATGTCATTCAGGATAACAAAAAGAAAGGTTCCTCGATATGATCAGCCATCACCAGGAAGGAAACTTTGGCTGAGGTTAAAAAAAAGAAAAAAAACACCTGAAAATATTTATAATTGAACTTGAAGAGAAAGCTGTAATATCTCTCTGAGCCTTTGTGAAGACAACTTAATGTTCAGGGTGGCTCAAGCCTACAATCTCAGGAGGCTGAGAGGGAAGGGTTGTCATGATTACTTGGGCTACATAGTATGTTCTGGGCTTGCTCTGGCTACATAGTGAGACCCTGTGCCAAAAAGAAAAAAAAAAATCTGGGGAAATGACTTACTAAGAAAGTTTGAGGTACAAGCATGAGGATAAGGACCTAGATTTGGATGCCCAGCACTCACGTTAAAAATTGGCCCTGGGGTCCATTCTGTGTTGGCCGACTAATCCTGGGCGTGAGGCCTGTTCTGGACTGTGGTTGTGTACCTAGTGATGCTCCACTTGACAAAGCTGATTTTCCCCGGCCAAGAGGTACCAATTGCAAATGGCTTCTTGGTTAAGCATGTGTACTTCCTTTTCTCAGTGCTGGGATTTTGTCTGGTTTGCACTTTTATAGGTATAGTGCATGGGGTCACAGTCTCTACAAGTTCCTACGAGCATCAGTCCTGTTACATCCGGAAGATACTGTTTCCTTGGGGTCATTTATTCCCTCTAGCTCTTACAATCTTTCTGCCTTCTCTTTCACATCAGTCTCTGAACCTTGAGGGGAAGGGCAGAGTGCTCCAAAGACTCTACCTCTCCGCACATTGTCCAGTTGTGGGCCTCTGTATTAATTCCCATCTGCTGTGAAAGCTTCTCCTATGAGGGTTGATCAAGGCACTGATTTATGGTATAACAATGTGTCATTAGGACTCATTTTATTGCTGTGCTCATCTAGCAGAACAGTAGTAGTAGGTTTTCCCCTTTGCCCATGACCTATCTAGTCTCAGGTTCTCGGCCACTTTAATGTTGCTGGGTATGGATTCTATCTCTTTGGGATGGGCCTTAAATCCAATCAAAAAGTACCTGGTTATTTTGATTTGTTTTTGTCTTACTGGTTTCTTGCTTTTTTTTTTTAAGATAGTTTTGATTTTCAAAGTTTTGTTTTTGCTGAGAAAGAAAGAGACAGACAGAAAGAATAAATGTGAAGCTGGGTGGGTAGGGAGGTGGTGGGAAGGATGTGGGAGGAGTTGGGGAAGGGAAGGAATGTGATCAAAACATATTGCATGGAAATTAGATTTTAAAAGAAAAAAGTTACTATAGTTATATGTACTTATAACTTAAGGGCCATGAGGACAAGGAACAAAAGTAAGAGGAGTGCTGGGGTTTGCTGGACCAGCCTCGCCCAGGAAAAAAACTCACAAGCTCCAGGTTTAATGAGAGACCCTCTCTCAAGGGGTTAAGGCAAAGGGCAACAAAGGAAGACACTTGAGTACCTCCTTCAGACCCCACAAACTCAGGCACCCCTCACACACACATACACACACACACATCACACACAGAGGAACTTGCCTTCTTTACAGAAGAAATTCTATGAAATGAAGCTTTTCCCTTATCATAATTGTAAGAATGATAAACTGCGCTGGTTACCACACGGAGAGGTCATGAGCCTCGACTACCCAGTATCAGAACTTTATTAGGAGGAAGAGGGGTGGAGGCAGAAGAACCAGGCCTGGGGGTGGGGGGATGCACATGAAGAGAGCAGAAAGAAAGTTGCGGGGGGGGGGGGGGGGGGGGGGAGAACAGAATAGAGAGAGAGTGTAGTGTCTGTGTCCGGCTTTTTAAGGCTTCCCCATGAACATGCGCAAGCAGGCTTACAGATCCACACCACGCATGCGCTGATTGCATGACCACACCACATGCACATAGTCACTAGTGCACACTAATGACGTGAGATACAAGACCCTTTGCTTAACTCCTGAACTGCACATGTGCAGCCATGCAGCTGGAGTGAGGGCAGAATTCTAACAATAATGCCTGAAAGATTTCTGTTCCGATGAACTGACCAGGAGCAGACGCTGGAAGCCAGCACCCTTACTCCTTTGACCTCCGCTCATGAAAAGACACTAGCTCCGAGGTCTGAGGAGTAGCCCAGAGTCCCTGGTAATGACAATGAAGAGAAGGGTAACACAACAGTTGTGGTTCCTTTTTAAAGCCCCTGTTGCCAGCTGAGTGGGGATATAACCAGTGTTGGTAAATCCAAACCCAGAATGAGAAATGCATCTCACAGTGTGGCCTGGCACATTCATATCGATAGGCAGGAAGGTGAAAAACATCACCAAACACTGCTCGTCTTTACCTCATTCAATACCTTCTAGTATTTCCTGTGCTATTCTTTTCTGTTAGTTGATTAAGAAAAAATGCGGTCATGACCAACTAAACCAATTTCACAACCTGAGAAGTAAGCACTCACCTTTTGTCCTCACCTTTCTCTGTCTACTTTTCTTTTGTTGTCTGTTTGTTAACTCACTCACTCTTCCATCAAAGTACGGAAAGATAGAACAGTAGCAATCTCTCCTGTGTGCTCGCCTGAAAGAATGAACTAGATCAGCAAGCAGAGAAACTAAGACGGGAGTGTGCAAATGTTCTGCCACAGAGCTACAGCCCCTGCCTGCCTCATACTTTCCCTTTAGAGCTAGAATACCATTAAGATGCCCAGGCTGACCTTGAACTTGCAATCCTAAACTCCTGAGTAACTAGAATCTACAGGTCTATATACCACCAGGCCCAGTGTGACAACACATCATTCTTTACCAACACTTTGAAAGCTGACTTTTAAAGATTGGCTCAAAGGTGAATAGAATCGTAGAACTTTCGTGTTCTTTGCTGTCTAATCTGTAAAGAGCCAGAAGAAAATATTGCAATACAAAAGATGTCCACATAGTTTTAGTCAGGGATTTAAAATGACTTGCTGGGTGCTCACACCCTAACTCCACTGCCCCTCCCTCTGTGACCTTTTGACCCTCTGGTTCCAACACCTTTGTAGATGACTGTTTGCCCAACACTCAGCAGGAGACAGCTGCTCAAGACACCAGGACTCGTTTCTCAATCTACCATACGCACATGAAATAAATGGTACTTTTAG